GACATGGCGTAAGACACGCTGTTACTTATCTACTCAAATCAAATCATTTACACGTATGTACCTATGAATAATACCCACAATGGTCTTGTCATCCGATCCCAGAACAAAGCCAAGAGTCTGGAGTTCCACTAATCAAATATATTAACTTGCCAAATTATCATCGAACTTCTCGAAAAATTAACTAATTCTGCAGGTTTATCTGTCTAATCTGCAGGGGCCATGCTGTCCTGCAATATGGGAAGGGAGCTCACACAGTATCAGTGTATATCACGTGCTGAGTCGGTGCCGTCTACCGCGCGTGGGTCTGCAGGGTGTCAACCTGTCTCGTGAGGTGCGACTTAGCGCAATCTATGCGTGATCTGGAATAGAGCCGGCGCCTGACGGTGCATATTCACCCGCGGCCGCTAACGTGAGATGGGAACAGACATAATGGGGAGCGTGGGAGAGAAACTAATCGCGTTAAAGCTCACTGCTTATAAATATTTATATACTAGCGTTTTTTTTTTTGCTTTGGACAGAATATTAAGGTCCTAAATGAATGTTTTAGATAGACTTATACCTATGCTAATCCGGAAGTACTTAAAAAAATGAACAGAAATGCTGATGATGATTTTTACATACAGTTGCATTTCAAACTTTTTCAGGCAGCAACGAGGAAGCTCCCTAATTACTTTCTAGCAGCATCCGGCCAGTTGCCACAGTGTAGTTAGACATACCTAAACCAGGAGCACGGATTAGTGACCGGGTCACAGCAATAATTCACTGCACTAATCAGGCTCAGCGATGCCTAGCGCCGCACTATGCACTCGACAGCAATCAAGTCACTTAGCTACGTGTGACTGTACGATGAAATCGTTCCAGGTCATGGCTCTAATTTCGCTCATACGGAAGCGAACTGGGCATTGTAGCATTGCATTTACGACTGCTATATTTCATTTTCAGTGTATCGTTTCCTGACAACAAGTTGTAATCTTTCCGACTTAACACCAAGGTATGTTCCTTTTTATTTGCTAATTTCTAATGCCGTTCTGAATTTCCCCATGCTGCCACTCAAACGCACTGCGGTCCATTACAGTGCACCATTCAGTCGACAAATGAGACGCTTCTGGTCGGAATGGGTCCGGTGCGCGAGCTGCTCACCTATCAAGGAGAGAGCGCAGAGAGCGGGCTCGCTGTCTGTTACCGGTGCAGCTAGGATGATGCCCTGTAATCACCCGGTGCAGACGGCGACCGGGTCACCGGCACGGCGCCCCGGGCCAACAGTCGGTGCGGCGCCAATACCCTGCACGACTGCAGAACACCAGACCGGGCGACGGCGTCATAGCGTTCAACACGGCGGGATCAGAGTCACCGTGAAGTACCGCCCTGCCCCTGGATCACAGCCCCACAGGACTGAACCACTGAACAACAGAACGCATGCCTTATGGCGGCTGAGTCGCAGCACGTGATTCAGTCTGATTCACTGTCTGCTGTCAAGTGTCAATTAGCGAGCCTCCAAACTTTCTAAAACTTTTTTTTTCAGCTCGGTAACAAACCGAGTTCTGACGTTATCGTGGTGAGCTGGCGTGAACGTATGGACAAATTTACTCTTTTACCGCGCCAGTCAGTCTCTGAAGTGGAATGGAATGGAGCGTTGCATGCGGCTCAGGAAGTGCGGTAGCATAATTGATAGTTACCTGTCGGTACCGAAGAAAACGAAACCCGAAAGCGGAATGAACTTATCGTTCTCTTTGCTAGTCGACTATTATTCACCTCATTTTTTTATAGCACACCGTCACCCATGCCTCTGAAGATTCCAACCGCGATCAAGTCTGTACGATAAAACACAAACCACATGACGGTGCACACTCCCTTCCCATACGCAGCTCGAGGCACTTCCTCACCGAGTTCAAAGCCTCTTCCCACGCTTCCCCCTCTCTTCTCCCTCCACAGTCCACAAGTTACGCACAATGGTCAGCAAAGGGGTGCCAGTTAAATCCACCATAGTGGAACCTTTGGCCGAACCCCTCTCCGGCCGCGGGCACCCCGCCGGTGCCAGGATGAGCGGCTGAGCGTGCTGTTTGTGTGCCGGTCCTCGCCCCGGGCCCTCCAGCTGGAACCAGCGCACATTCCCTCTCCTCTGAGGATCGGCCAGGAGCGGCGCCAGGTCAGTCCGGCGCTGCGGACCCGTTCGCCGCCCTCCCGGCCGACCTGTGAGCCGCCCCTGCCGTTCTCTGAGCCGAGATTCGGCGATCTGAGACGGCCGGGCCGATACCCTTTCCCTGTTTTGATGGTTTGCTGAGGCCCCGGCCCGGAATGCCCCGGATGAGGAGGCCGAGTGCTTTCGGCTCTGGAGCGCCCGCCAGACGAAACACCATCCATGGAGAAATTGAAGATGGGCTGTGCTGATGTTTTCATGACAATGCGGTGTTTCGACTCAGGCTTGACCGATTGGAATCTTCATAAGCATGGGCGATTGTGTGCATCTGAAAAAAATGGCGTGAACACTAAACATGGAACGAAGCCTTCTCAATTCTATATCTGCAGGCTTGCAAAGGTTTAGATATCGCCTTCTGTTCAAAGTGTACTGAGGCGCTAAACTATTTCAATAGTCAATACACTCATCCTAGTAAACATCAGCTCGCTTCTTTTTTGCGATAACGGCCCAACTATCCCCGCAGTACCTAGCGTTAGCCTGGGCACTGGAATAGTCAGTTATCCGTCGTACTCGTAAGTGACGTTTCTACTCGCACACTTTTCTTATCTCGCCCTGTGTCATAGGAGGTCTTTATGCCAGTTGCGGCCAATGCAAATATGCTCCGCATTAGTTCAGGCCACTTGCTGTCAGCTCAGATATGTCCACTTGTATGCCCATGTTGCTAGTTGTGTTGAATTGACAAAGTGCTCCACCACATCTATTGCAGCGGTATGTGTAAGGTTAGCGCTTAATTCCCTGATATCTCAACATATTTTTTCATGGTGCAGGTTGCTGTTCCTAAATTTAAGTAAAAAGGCTATATTATATCACAGAGAAATTTAGCTAGTGTGTCGCTATCAGTTGCGATTGCTGGCCTGGCCGCTGATAAGAGTTGCTTATTTTCCATGTCGTCATTTATTAACGGTGTAACTTCGCGATAGGATATCATGGTTTATTATTCTATTCTCTATCAGTCTACTTGTCAAAAATGTTACATATAGAAAGCAGCATTTACGTTAACCCTATTAGTGGCAGGGGGGTTGTTTTTATCCACCCCTCAGGTTTTTCGGGAATATCTCCGAAACCGCTGAAGCTACGATGCTGAAATTTTCTGACTTTTCCTAAAACTAAATTGGGCACATTCCCTGAAAATTTCAAGTTCATAACTTTACCAGGGGCGGCTCCAGAGCACTGGGAATTGGGGGGTCCTATTCGTGAAGCGAGTCATTTGGGCGAAGATCACGATGCTGCACCAGTTTTGCGAACAGTGAATGAAAGGTATCATGTGATAACATATACAAAGTTATTGTGCATCCTCTTTTGACACGTTTTTGCTATAATAGGCGGATCCAGGCGTCCAAAAAGGGGGGTTATTTTTTACCTTCCAACATAGGTGCCCTGACACCGCCTATGCATGACCAATACAGTTTTAGTCGTTCTCTCATAAGAAAATTGTAACATAACAAGACCATTGCCACCCTTTTTAGAAACAGTACCAACAAAAAACTTATTTACTATACTTTTTGTGTACCCCCAATCTCAATGATCTGTATCCGCCTATGATTTTTGAAAATGCATATTTTTAGGATCCATGTGAATTCCTGGTTCATTCTCTATCGATCGGCAAAAGTTGCGTTAAGATTGGTTCAGAAACCTGGCCGTGATAAACAGTCTAAAATGTATCTGCAATTTGCCCGTTCTTACCCCCCTCTACCCCCCTATTGACATTTTTTAATTTTTTTTTTAGAAATGTAGATCTCGTTGAGCGAAATCGAATGCCGTTTGAATTTTGAAAATCGGCCCGTTAGATCTTGAGATATCAAGGGGGGTCGTAAACAGCCCCCCCTGCCACTAATAGGGGTAGCCAGGAGCCTGCCACTAATAGGGTTAAAAGTTAAAACAGCAACGATCCCGTCTAACTGAAACACAGCTCGGACATTCAAATGTCGACAGCCCTCATCGGTCCATTCAACATTTTGTAATGTAATTTGTACTGTATTTACTTCGATTAAAATGCATTAAATTTTCTTATCTAGATATACATAATGGCTAAAAGGACAGCACCCACCTAACTTCTAATCCCCAACCGCAAGTTAGTTTCTTGACAAAATTGCTCCCTGAAAAGGCAATGTTGACTGTGCTGCTAAAAGGGGCGAACTGATTCCCACATTGGCTAGAACTTGATTCATAACAATCTATACGCTCGCCAGCGTACGGCCCTCCAGCTTCCAGGCATTACGTGGTTGATTGCCAACATCACAATAATCGATCTGTATTGATGAATACCTACGTCTAATGGATGCTGAAAAATATTGCCGAAGTGTTAGCACGATCTCTTTTCTCATTTCTAATTGGTCATTTTACTGGAGTGGCTCTGTTATGCCAAAAGCACATCGGGAAACCAACCACTTCTTGTTGGAGGGCCGTACTTCATGACTTCTTGGCGATGGCCTTGGCAAACCTGTCGATATTCGCTAATGCCAGATTTCGTGTAGCTCTCAGGACCAGACGACCGTGGACCGATCAAAGCCTTTCCCTTGGTTCGATCGCTCTTATTGACCGGCTACACGACGGCTAACAGGAGTAGGTAGTGTCTAGGTCAAGCTCCGATCGAAACATGCCCCGGATTTTCCGTTTCCAAACCACTAAATCCTACTCCGCAGCACATATGCCTCACAAAGATACAAATCCCCGTTTGCAGTGTGCACGGCCGGTCACGGTGCACGGGCACCTCCGCTCTGCACGCTGATTGGTCGCCGCGCTGTGACGTCCGGTGACGTCAGCGAGCATCGATCGCGGCGGCCGGTCGGAAGGAGCGCCGTGTCGCCGCCGGCCGCCGGCGCTCGGTCGGCCCCAGTCGAGCCGAGTCGCCGGCGCGGGTGGTGCGTGGTCGGCGTGACGACCGGAGCAGACGGGGCCGCGCTCGGCCTACAGGACTCGTGAGCGCGCCGGAGGACTCCCAGAGGCGGCGCGAGTCTGACAGTGGTGAATCGCGGCCACGGGCTGACCCAGACTGCGCAGCGACGCTCGCCGACGCCCCGTGGAGTCGCCCTGGCATCGCCGCTGACCGGGAGGCTCGTCCGACGCAGTTCTGTCCTGGTATCAGTCCCACGCACAAGGGGGAAAAGCTCAAAAAATTGAGCGCTCAAAATATTGAGCGTGTGACGTCAGAGGCTCCCATAGGCGTAATGCTGAGGGCTCAAAAAATTGAGCCGTTTCAGGAACACGTTTTGCAAAAGCAACTCGCAACACCTAGGGAGAAATGGCAACACCCTAGGAGAATCACTAATGATGCAAAACAGATTAGGCTTTCATATTTTTCACTGCTCAAGCTTCAATGATTGGGGGAACACCAATTTATAGGTCGAAATCTTACGGCATACCAGGATGACTTAAAAACAGGCCAATATTTATGTCGAAATTAAAGTTATTTTTTGTCCATTCACGTTTTTTACTAGGGTTCTGTTGGAAAGAGCATTTTTCATACTACCCAAAATGATTGCGACTCAATTTCACATTACCCATATCAGAGAATATTTTTCATTTGGCGGCGCCGTTTGTTTATTTCGTCGCGACGTCTCCGGTCGCGTGGTTGTCGTCGTCCTTGTGTTGAAGGTAAGTTTTTATCGTTTTAGTTATACTTAGATGTTAAAAGGTACTTTGAAAAGTTTGAATATGCTGTGATTTTAAATTTGGAAACACGTAAACGTCAATCAATTCACGTTTTCCTCGATTTACGTGCAGATAAGTAACTGTCGACGAAAGTGGCGCCATCCGATATGATGTTTTGAAGGAAGGAGACACACCATATTTACGTGAATTTTTTGTTTTTTAGTGGTCTAAGTGCTTCAAAGAGGCTGTCGATGTTTTCTTCACACAATTTTTCATTAGGTATGATGAGGTAAAAGGTAGTTTCAGTCTTAACTTTCATATAATTGACATTAAAACATATGATAGTGCACTGCTATCAGTGATTGAGTACCTTGATATTTGGCATTTCTTATTAATTTGAATGTATTCTCTATCCATTTGTCCTGATAGTAAGTGACAATACTCTGCCAATATGTTTCCACAGTTTTCACATTCATTTTCCAGTCCTTTACATAACATCACAATTTATTATCAACAAAACTCAACTCCTTCATTACTTCACAACACTGACAGCATGACAGACTGACAGTCAACTATTGTGTGTGTGAATGCTGAAACAGGATAGCCACTTTGCTGACTGGCTCATATGAAATAAGATAAAAATGATCCTTTATATCATTTCCATCTGGAGGATCGGAGTCAACGGAAAAGGAAGGCATCTTTCAAGCCTCAAGGTCTAGGCCGCCAGACGCCAGTCGGCAGTCACCACCAAATTTATAATAGATTAACTCATCATTATACTTTGAGACCCTTAGGTTACTGAATCGGCATCACATTTTCAGTTTCAATATAGTAAAGGTTTTTATTTGTATGATGTGAAATATTTTCCCGAATCAGAATTTAATTATCCCTAGGTACCTGGTAGAGGTTTCAGATTTAATGCTCATTGTTGGTGTGCAGTCAGGATTTTTTGACAGGTCCAGATAGGGAATCCTGAGCAATTTTATAGTAAAGTGGTCTCCTTATAATCACCACACATTTTATCAAAAGCATTTGCAGAATTCATTCAATGAAGAATTTTATCAATGTTGCACCCATTTCTTAGACGACCTAGGCTGCATCTTTTTTTAGTTCCTGTTGTATGACATATTTTTCATTTTGTTCCACTGCATAAAGAAAAAAATCGTTTGAGATCACCAAACAGCTTTTCTTTTTCTGGCAGGTCTGCACAACCAAGCGGTCGCTGGCGAGGACGTCGGCACTCGGGGCCGTCCCTGTGGGTAAGGTCATCTGCTCAGCCTTTGTGGAGATCAGCAAGACGTCACCAAGATGAAGACTTCGCTGGAGCAGAAGCTGCTGACCCGTGTCCGATCGGGCAGGTCATGCTCGACGGCACGAGCCACAACTTGAACGACTCGGTGACATCAACAACATGGTGGAGCAGGTGAATGAGTTTGGCAACGTATTGTGCGACTGCAAGAAGGGTTGTCTGCGTGTTCTGGCTGGCGGAGCGGCGACGCTGCGCAGTCTGTGCTGGCGGTGAGCAGCTGGCCGTGGTGACCGCGCGCGCCCACATGCGCCGACAACCTGTGCGGCTTCGACGGCCCCGGGACAGCCCGATGCCGCCCACTATGCGACGCCGACCGCGCACTGTCTGCACGGCCACATGGAGGTGTGCCCGCGCCTTTTGCCCGCACGCCGCTACCTCGCAGCTGGTCTGCAACCACGCCGTCGCCGCCTGTAGCCCGATAACAAAACGGCTGTCTGATAATGCCGCGTGTTCTTTGTGATGTGATAGGGTTGCTACTGCTGGTCTGAGACTCGATGTTTCCATTCGTCCTTTACATGTTAAGGATTTGATCATGATTAGCTTAGTCCGAGCTTAGGTCGTTTATATCATTTGTTATATGGCATATTTTGGATCAAAACAGTACGACACTGCCTCCTGCTTTTGTGATGTATGCTGGCAAGACGCAGGTTCCGGTCGCAGGTCACCCGGTTCCAATGTGGTCGGGGTGGCATGCGATAATGTGATGTTGTTTCGCTCGTCTCTGTGTTCCACACTTGATGATGTTTGTGAATCTAACCCACATTGTATAGTATTTGTTTGTTTGCGGCCGATGGCCTTGTAAGTTGTAACCGTGGCAATACAGTTTTTCCTGCTATAATTCTCCAATATTCAAGCGTGGGTGGATATCTTTCTGTATTCACGTATTCTCTTCTCCCAGTACAGTCAGAGAATATCAATACAGTATTCATACGGATTATTCAAGCCCTGTATAATTATTTGAGGTGTGCCGAATCCGAAAGGCGACCGATAAAACTACTAGCGGAAAATGTGACATGATGCCATGGGTTTGTGAAAAGTTTGGGTACCACGTAGCATTCAACTTCCTGCATTTCTGTTTCAACTCAGTTTAACGTATTTCAACGAACATAACATCAAAAATGGCAGCCAGTACCGGCTTCACCTGTCACGGAGAACGCTCAAAAAATTGAGTGTAGATGCTGGCAGGCACTCAATTTTTTGAGCGCCAGCTGACTGTCGTCTGTCGTGGCGCTCAATTTATTGAGTATCGCGGTCCCGAACGACAAGTGGCGCTCAAAAAGTTGAGCGTCTTTAGGGCATTTTCTTTCCAAAAACACCGATATAAATTATCACGGCGAGTGTTCGAGAAGAAACCTTGTTGCTCCCTCTTGCCATTGATACCTTATTTGGATACAATAGTTGCCGTAGTGTGACGCTAAAGGCATTGTAAAATACCATCGTTTCGCCTATTCCTTCATAATGGGGCCCGCTCAATTTTTTGAGCGCTCAATTTTTTGAGCTTTTCCCCCTTGTGCGTGGGACTGGTATGTGTCGCTACAAGCGGGACCACACGGGCGGGCCTGACGACTGACCGACTGACTCGCATAGCAGGCGGTCGCCGGCGTCCCTTGGGTCGGTCGGTCGCCGGTTATTTAAGTATTCTGGGGTCGCCTGTGGTTGATTGGTGAGACGAGGGTCGGCTGGCTGACAGGTCAATGTCAGCGTCTCGGTTGACCGGTCGAAACGGGGGCGGTCGTGCCGGTCGGCGGACCGGTGCGGGTGGCTGGGCCGGTTGATTGACGGATCGGTGGGTCGACTGATCGGTCAGTGGGTTGGTTGGTCGGTTGACCGGTCAGACGGTGGGTCGGTCGGTTGACCGGTCAGACGGTGGGGCGTCGGACCGGTCGGCGGGGGAGGGGGGCGGCTCGTCGGGGTCGTCTGGCTGGTCAATATTTTGGTGGATCGGTTAGTGGGTCGGCTGAGTGACCTACCGTTTGGACCGGCTGGGAGCTCGGACCTCGGTTCGGCTCGACCGCTCGTTTTAACCGGCCGACTGAATGGCTGGTGTATCGTCCTGAGCCGCCCTCCCCGGTCCAGCCCGGCCGCCCCGGTCCGTTCGGTCCAGTCCGGCCGCCGCGGTACCGCTGCCGTTGCGACACGCCGCTCTGCTGGTCTGGCGGCGTGCGTTGCAGTTAGGCCGTGTCGGTCAATGTCCCCCCTCCCCCGCCGCTCTTCTGGGGCGGGGGATGTCGTTTCCGTCTAACCGGATGCCTGCCAGAATCGGTTGCAGGATCACGTTTCAGTTTCGGTTGGACATCTGTCCCATCAGTCGGTGGAAGTCCGAGTTTGGCGCTGGGATGGCATTAGTTATTTTGGAGAGGCTGGATATATTTTTTTATTTTGAATGGCATATTTCTAATATAGGTACTTGCTGATTCAGTCAGCAGAACAAATTCGCAGTATGGTCAGAATATACACATACAAAACAGCATACAAATAAGGTCGCTATAATGCTTACTGATGAATGAATGCTAATGCTGAAATGCTTGCCTTCACAACCATATGCGTCAGATGTTGGTGGGTGCTTTATGTCGCTTCTGAACCATATCCGAGACCGATTGAAGTTAACTGTTTAGGAAAACACGAAATAATGAAAAATACAAAAAAAAAATACGGTGGTCGGGCGCTTGGATATGTGCGCTGCTTATATTTTTGATCCGTTCCTGTCGGAGTATTATAATTGCGTACCATTTATTTTAAAGGTAGTGTGCCAGCTTTCCTGGACCGTATGGGAGTTAATTGCCCAGAAAAGGAGAACCGGATATACTTTGTGGTGCGGCGGTGGTGCGTCGGGCCGCGCGCTCTGACTTCGGCCAAGAAAAATGCGTCAGCTGATCATTGTCATTTCTGCCACTTGCGTGTGGTGAAATGGGGTCATAACTTAAGAGACGGCTTTTTCATATCAATTATTTTACATAAAATCATATTTCAAACCATAAATATTGTTCGACAGCCAAATAAAAGAAACAATACCAATACAGTACAGTATACAGGCTCGACATTGTGTTGTCTACGATTAGACAGCTGATAACTCATTCCCGTACGTCGTAACTCTATAATGACCTTTGCTTATTGTCACATGTGCGCCGCATTCGCGATTGTTGCCGACGCCTGTTTGCAGGTCAGCCCACTACAGTTG